TAACTCTTTAAGGCTCGAGAATAATATTTTTTTGCATAATTTTATGAATTTTTACCTTAGATTGACTCGTCAATATGTTAAGATGGTCTTGAGTTCAACTCGTCAATATCGAGGTCTCGATAGAAGACTCAAGTGTAAACTCAGATTAAGAGTTCGAGCTCAGATCGACTCGTCCAGACATCTTAGAGTATCTTCACATTATCATAAATCTCACATAAATTCTCACTTAAGGCCAAAAGAACCCTCCCCCCAAAAAAGAAGAGAATAATTTGTTGGTCTGATTAGAAAGATGATAAGGGGCCCATTAGAGCAGTTTTGGTATTCGCTGATTTTGTCGGGCTTTTACAAGGAATTTATGTCCGGCCCCTTCTTTTCTGTTTTATCTTTCCGGCCCACACTACACTATTTCAAATCTTCTCATGATTTCAAATCTTGTTTTGACCATATTGGCCTCGGGATTAATTAATTAATTAATTAATTACACTCAAATTCTTTTATGTCTATTATTATAAATGAAATGAGCCTTTAGGTTACAGTTATTTGGTTGTTGAGAATAAAAATAAAAATAAAATTAAAAAGGCCAAAATTGGCTTCAATGTCGGCGGGTTTTGGCTGTCAAAAGTTAAAAGAGTGTGTTTAGTAAGTTGCATAAGTAATTTTATAGTTTATTTAATTAGTTTATAATAATTTGTTATCAAATAAATTTAGTTTAGTAAAATAGTCTATTTACTTTTTCAAAAACTTCAAATTTATCTCAAAATAAAGATACTTCTTTATGTAGCGTCAAAAAAATATTCAAATATTTGTTTTTGGCCGACTAATCGACTTTACCACACTTTTACTATACCGTCCACATTTTCAATCATCATTCGTAATTATCGACTATGAACTCCAAGTTTACTTATTAGCGATCAGTTATCTTTTTAACTAATTTTTCCAAACTCTAAGGTAGTGCTCGGATATAAGTTGTGATTGAATTTTTCTAATCACAACTCAAATTTAATTCAACCACAATTCTCCTCAATATGACTAAATAATATCAATCAGTCATTCTCACGCATTACATCGACTTTAGTTCATTATTTATTCATTCGCATAAATTTAACTATCGACCACTTCCAATCATATAATATTGCAATTTAAACTCCTATATTTCATGTCACAGTAAAAAGTGAAGATGTGATTTGGACAATAATGTGGGTCCAAATGAAGGATTTTGATGTGAATCTATAATTATATTAACGAAAAGAAGCAACACAATAAAAGAACATAGTTTTGTTGAAATTGATTATTAGATAAAGCATATGTTGGTTTTGGTTTGGAGGTCAAAAGGGATGCGTAATTGCAGTAATTAAGCAACATATAAAAGTGTCACGAGGCTTCATTTAATTTGAATATAACAACCTATCTATTTTTTTTATTTTTTTATTTTTATTTTTTTCTGATCATTTTATAATTATGCCCACATAGGAAATCAAAATATCTCACAAAAACCAATAGTAATGATAGTACATAATGTCTAGATTTGGTTAGTTAGGTTAATTTTTAATTTAAAACTTTTTTTTTAATACCAAGTATAAGATTGTATGTTGTTTTATAAGTGTTATAAGTTAAGCATCATAATAAACCTTATTTATAACAGTTTGGTTTGACATGATGAAGTTTTATACCTTATTTATAGCAGTTCGGTTTGATACGACGAATTTTTATAAAATTATGAAACTTATCTCATAAGTTTCTTGAAATAGGGTTTACAAAAAAACTTATTAAATTTTTATATTTCAGATAACTTATTAAATAATTTTATCATGAATTTTTGTTGTATCAACTAGCGTTTAAATTAGAAACTATTGTTTTTAAACTCGAAATTCGCGCATATATTATAGATAACTTATCGACTATTAGCTAGTTTTTCTTTCAGCGGACAGGCTAAATTATCGCCAATACTAAAAGATGAATTAAATTTGGAGAAAAAAAAAGTGTAATTAAATCCCAAGAAAAAGATTATGTGTCAAAAAGTGAAACAAAAAGGACATGAAGGCAAATTGAGAGGGTTCTTAATCTTACCTCCTTAGTGGGTTGAAGTCAACAAAAGTGAAGAAACAAAGTTGTAATATAAAATCATTTAGGCCACACTTTTTGCTGCCTTTTGGATGTTTATATACTTAATTAAATCCACCTGCAGATATATATGACTCAAATTTGCCATAGACCAAGTTAATCATAGTCTATGGGGACCTTATTGGAACATAAATCAAGCTATACTCTAATTATCACATTAATTAGGAGCTAATCAGATCTAGTGGACTCCATTCCCTAATGGTCATACTTACAATCTTCAAACCCTAGATTCTCATAATAGTCATACTTGTAAATTGAAAAACTAAATTCGCGCTATGTTTTTAAACTCGAACTCGATGTAAGATTAGATTCTCGCAATGTTTTTAAACTCGAACTCGATGTAAGATTGGATTCTCAAAATGTTTTTAAAAACGAACTGGATGACAGATTAGATTCTCACAATGTTTTCGAACTCGAACTGGACGTAAGATTGGATTTTCACAATGATTTTGAACCCAAACCGAACATAATATCAGATTCTCACAATTTTTTTGAATACGAAACGCAGCCAAGATTAGATTCACACAATGTTTTTTACCCTAACCAAGAATCGACTCATACTTGTACGATCGACTGAAGTTATAAAAATAATGAATAAGAGTACAAGTAGATAAAGGAAAGTTTGTGGGTGATGGGTCTCCTCTCAGATCTGGAGTGAACCGACGAGAAACCGCCCAGATCTGGAATGAACCGATGGGAATGAGCTCAGATCTGACTCGATAGCCTCCAAACCGTTGCTGAACCGCGAGAACACCTGCAAGAACTCAACGCCGGAGGGGTTTCCGGCGTAGAGCCTCCGACGCTCAAGTCAGTATGTGAAAGAGATGAAGAGAGCTGCTCTGAGAGAGCAGCAGCAGTAATGGAGAAGAATGTAGAATGAATGGGGGTTAGGGTTTTGGGGTTACCTCACCTCCTTTATATAGAAGTAAAAACATTTACCTGGAATCCCCAAACTGCCCTGGCCGACTTACTGGAAATGTCCAGAATACCCCAGTCGGTTCGCATTCCGCCCATATCCTAGTCAGCATTTAGATTCCTTCTTATCCTTTAATAGTTTCCCTCTGATGTGTTGAAGTGTGTAGGAGTCGTCAGGGATCCATGAGCCCCAAGACTACTTCAGTCGACTCGAAATGTCAACTCGAGCCGACTAGGTCATTCCCCAATCACTGGTAGACCCTAATGCACTTATTCGTCCTTCCGGACGGAATCGACTTAGGCTAGTCGACATGGTAGAAGTCGACTAAGAAGAGGATCCGGACCCTTGACAGAATATATTATTACGAGAAGATATGCGAGTGGAGTCGACTTCAGGTAAGTCGACTCGGCAATGTTCGAACCGGGACAACATAGGCCGCTATACAATAGTATGGCTATATCAGTGGGCAAATAGACACACTCAGATACTCCTATAAGGCTAGGATGAAATACACCATAAATATTGGTAGAGAATTTTGTTGTTTTCCTTTCGTTTCCTTTTCTTTCTTTCTTTTTTTTTTTTTTTTTGGTAAAGCCAAATTTATAGACAGCATTTGTCGATAAACCGAGTCCAATGAGAAATGCAGTTCTGGGAAAAGCCATAGCTTTCCGTTTCGAAGAAATGCATTGGTGTTATCACGCTCATAGAAACATTTAAATCAAAGTTCAAGATTTTGTAGAAATCCATCCAAAGCCAGGGGAGATTACAGGGTTATGATTTTCAGGCAAACGACAAAAAAACACAGGTTTGCGAATATTATACACTTGCAAGTCTCCTGTATGCACACAAGTCGGAAATTTCATAGCTTCTCAACGGGCACACGCATACCTAGCACGCCCCACTTCATATCAAAGCACAGGTTTAGTGCATTTGCAAAAGATCGCATTTCCCATATTACCTATAAAAGGAATCAGAGACGAATTAAATCTCAGCATTTAGTCGTGATAACCAACGAAGGGTAACACAAGTGAACAAATAACGTAACTGTTTTTTTTTTAAAAAAAGAACTAGTAAATATTACCGATTTATGCTTCTTTGGTAAGTTTTGGATGCTACATCTAACAATTAGAATTTGTTCACTGTTCTAAAAATCGGCCTAGGCGGTGCTCGGCCGCCTCCGATTTGCACAAATCGGCCGAAAAAATCAGTCAGATGGCTAGGCAGCACTTAGACGGGCCTAGGCACTCCGAGGCGGACTTGGCGGGCTCGGCGGTTAGGCGGCGCCTAAACGGGCATAGGCAAACCTAGGCGCTCCTAGGTGGGCTCGGCAACAATTTTTCAGTTTTTGTTAAAAGTACAATTACATTATATTGTTCTCATGTATTCTTTAAAATATATTAATATTAATATTTGGACTTAAGTGATAATTTATTATAAGATGTGATAGTTTTATTTTGTAAGTAGTTAAAATAAATAAAAAATAAGGTACTTATTATTGATTTTTAGGCCCTGCCTAAGTGCCTACCTAGGCACTGGTCTGAGCGCCTAGCGACTTTTAGAACAATGAATCTTTTTCATCAAAAACATTCTAATTTCTTGTATGCTTACGGGTATGTCGCAAGACTAAATGACATGATAATAGATTAACACATTTTTATATTTATATTCAACGAGAAAGTTGAAAAACTCTGCTCAGAAATCTAGGCTCTCTAGTTTTGGGGTGCCCCTAAATTCTAAACGGTCCCTCATATAACCTATCGTCAAGGAAATTATTAATTAGAAATCTACAACTCTTCAACCGATTTATCTCAAAGAAAAATAATATTATTACTCGACACACAAAAAATATATGCATCCTCCACATATGAATTCCACAATGAAAGCATACGCAAGGAATATAGTGCGACCAAAAAAAAAATTAAAATAAAAATAAAAATAAAAACAGCAACATACCCTGAACATGTCATGGCTTGGACTGATCTTGAACCATACCATCTCTTATGTCATACCGCATACGCACTGAACGAGCTTCAGCAATCATAACCCGTATTGATCTCCCATTAAGGTCCTGTGCCAAGAAATCCGAGCTAGATAAAGAAAGAATAATAAAAAAAAATACTTGAAGTGAATGCATTTAACCAAGCATTAATCCATCTTTCACGAAAAATCACAAGGCATATATACTTACTGCACCATCCAATGCTGCAATAGCCCTGTTGACCTCCTCGGGGGAATGATAAGTAACAAACCCGAATCCCTTTGACCTGCCACTTTCTCTATCACAAATCACCCGAGCATTCTTGACCCGACCCTGTTTGCTAAAGAAATTCTCGAGAGTAATATTATCAATGCCCCATGAAAGGTTAGTCACGAAAAGTGTGTTGAGGTCATTCGAATGAGCTGATCCACGACTCCCAAATGCTCTGGGTGGAGAATTTTCTCTCTTAGGCGGTGGACCGGAATTAACCTTCAGAGCACGACACTCGAGTTCCTGCAAAGAGAATCACAATTCTTTGGCATATAAATAATTAAATACAAATGACACATAACTGGTGAAATAAGACAGTACGATTGTGTTCAAGGCTTCATCAAGCTTAAATGATTAATGGAAAAAGCAATATGAAATCCATAGAATCTCAACGATTTAAGATGAAGTTTACATATCCATTTAGCTGCTGAACGGCAGCTTCAGCTTCCTTGATCGAGGACATAGTCACGAAACCAAAGCCCCTACTTCTCCCCGAGTTCTTGTCAAAGATAACCTGCGAAGAAAGACTTTCCTCAACATAAACATACTCAAACTGGCTCTGTTGATATCCTAATTGACCATTCCCATTTCCCATCATCACCCAACTCAATGTGACGGAGAATAGTCATACATACACACACACACATACACAAAAACATAAAATCTAAGTTTTGAAACACTTAATAGAATAGGGTTCTTTATTCAGACAACTGAATACACATTAATATGACACAGGTGAAGGTAAACCCATTCGTGTTTGCATAGATATCATATTCACACGTCACATTCCCAATAGTTTTGCCAAACACAAGCACAAAGCTTCAAACTTTTCAAAAATTTCACAACAGAAAACAAATAAGACGAAACCGAGTGCTGTACCTCAACCATCTCAACGGACCCGACTTGCTGAAACAACCCAGCAAGCGTATCACTGCCTACGCTGAAAGGCACGTTCCCCACGTAGAGTTTCTGTTCGGGCGGAAAGCTGGGCTCGTCGGGCCCGAGGCCCGACAAATCGAAGGCTTCGTCTTCTTCCCCCTCTTCCATTAATTGGGATGTCAACGAAACCTTTGGCACGAACGTGAAATTGAGGTTTGAGTGACCTTTTGTAGGAGAGAGCGCGAGCACCAGTTTGGGTAAGGGTTTGAGAGAACATTGAGTTAAGAGAGCGGCGGACGAAGGGTAGAAGCGGCGGATGGAGAGGGTTTTTGGAGTTAGAGTTAAGGAGAGGGCGGAGGCAGCCATTGTTACTGCGTGTTGTGTGTGTAAAGATAGGGTTTTTGAAAATTCACGAAAATGAGGTTTTCACAGTGTCGAACGGAGGGGAGAGGTTCTTCAGGCTCATGGAAGGGGAATTTGCATTTAGAACCTTGAATTTCGGACTATTAGCAAATTTTCCCTACTTGCCTATGGAGAAATTTTCACCCGTACACGTAACATATTTTTTCATCCCAATCATATTTTTACAGTTGATTTATATATTTTTAAATTAAAATGATATGCGCTAAAAGTAATATATAAACAAAATACATGAATTTTCATAGCATAAATTGTGTACAATATTATTATTATTATTATTATTATTATTATTATTATTATTATTATTAAAATAAAGCACCGATAATCCATATTCCTAGTGTAGAATATTATTATTATTATTATTATTATTATTATTATTATTATTATTATTATTATTATTACTACCTTGAGATTTGCGATCTCATTAATACAGTCATACTCGTACAATTTCCTACGTCCATAAATATATATTTTTATTAAAAAATTATCACAGACGATTCGCGATCAAATATCTTATCAAGAAATAAAAAAATTTCTCACACATGAAAATGTAAGCTCAAAGAACAGTACATATATTATGACGAAGAAGATGAGCATGCAAAGCTCGTGAGTCGACGCCCTATCCTAATCTTTCACATAGCAACCACTAATAAAAACAACAATAAAATGGAAAATACAAAGATGCACCAACAACTCTATTAGTGAGACACACACCTTTACTAAAGACTAATAATAAAAGTAAAACACGAAATGAAAGAGGCGGGCATGCAACTTGTCTTCAGAAAGCCTCTCCCCATAATGATGCATGCAAGAGGCGACTCCCATGCAGATCAACAAAAAACCACAAGAAATCATGCCGTGCTCACCACCCTCTCCCCCCTCAGGTGAGAATGTGGGAAGTACACATCCTCAAGTTGACATGATTTCTTAATAAAACCGTGAATATCAGAACCTTCCAATGCCTTAATAAACATATTAGTCGGCTCAGAAGTGGTAGAGATATGCTTGGGCGAAATGAAACCATCGTTGTATTTATTGCGCATCACATGACAATCTTTGTCCAAATGTTTGGTCCTCTCATGAAAAACAAGGTTTGTCGTGATGTGAATAGCAACCTTGTTATCACACCATAGAGGAATTGGCATAGAAAGTTAAATACCCAAATCATGAGCAAGATAAGCAATCCACTGTAGACAACGAAGCGCATCTTGAGTGGTAAGACACTTCACCATGACCGACAGGTCATAGGTCCGAGTCACCGAGGAAGAAAAGTGGGAACACTATTGATCCTCCTTTAAAAAAAAAAAAAAAAAGTACGCAGTCTATTGTAGTTCACAAATCTTTAATGCCATGGACCTGTATTCAACTTTTTCGAGGACAGAGAAATTGTCTTTTTTTTTTAGTTTTTCATGAAATCAAAGCATCTCCTAGAAAAAATACAATAGACGGTCAATGATTTGCGGGTCAAGGTGCAGCTTCCCCAATCTGAGTCGTAGAAAGCCTCCAAGTGTGGTGATGGTCGTGATGTATAGTACAGACCCAGCTGAGGACAACCTTTAAGATACCTAACCACATGAAGAGTTGTTGTCCAGTGAGTCTGTGTAGGTGCTTGGACAAATTGAATAAGCTTATGTATGGCATAAGAAACATCAAGCCTGGTATAAGATTGAGATAAATCATCCAGCCAATTAACATTCTATAGCTCTCAGGGTCAAGAAAGGCAGTTGATTCTTGGCTTAAGAGATTGAAACCTTGTGGAAAAGGCGTTACCACACTTTTGGAGTCCTGCAACCCAAGATCACCAATGATGTCAACAATGTGTTTCATCTGGTTAAAAAAGATGACTTATGTATCATTGCAGATTACTAGGCTCAGAAAATATTTAGCATAACCCAAATCCTTGATGGTGAACAAGTTGTGTAAATAGGACGTCAAATGGTTAATATCATTCAGAGATTTTCCAACAATGAGAACATCATCAATATATATTAATAATGCCAAAATTGATCATTTGTCATCTTGATGAAGGGATAGTGAGTCAGTGATTATGAGTAGGTTGAGCAAAACCATAAGCCAATAGTTTGTCTGAAAACCCAATGTTTCACTGTCTCGAGGCTTGTTTCATCCATACAAGATTCTCTTGACTAGACACACTTCTCCCTTTTTTGATTTCTCATAACCCTTAGGAGGCGACATGTAAAATTCTTCCTCCAAAAACCAACATAAAAGGTATTGTTTATATCTGTATGGTGCATCTCCACATTGTATTGTGTAGCCAAGCAATAAGAAGTCTTGCCATCACCAATTTGGCCACAAGGGAAAAACTATCAAAGAAATCCACCCCTCTATTTTTCCAAATTACCCTTGGCCACTATTCTGACATTAAACTTGTCTATACTTCCATTTAGGTGTCTTTGATTTTGTACACCAATTTTGATCCTATGGTCTTCTTCCCAACTTGTAGTTAAGTTTCCAGGTTTCATTGGTTTTCAAATATGTCAATTTCTTTTTTCATTGCATCAATCCACATGTCATCCTTGATTGTATGCTCATGAAACAAAGGTTTTGAATGTTCATTACCTATCTCAGCCAAGAATAACTTGATATCTGAATATATGGTAATCTCAGTGGTGGAGTTGACATCATAGTATGAAGCCACACAAGTGGCTGCCTCATTCTTTTGTTTCTGCCAAAATCTCAATTCTTAAATGATCTGCTTCGTTTGTATCTTTAGTAAGCTTCGTTGAATGATCAACATCCTCCAAAACTTCATCTTCAACTATGAACAAAGGAATAAAACCTTCATTTGTGGTCCTTTCATGAAAGGGAAATTGATCCACATAAAATACGACATCCCTTGATATGGAAATATCCTTAGTATCAAGGTTATATATACTATAGCCCTTCACCCCAGTCACATATCTAAGGAAATTGCATGGGACTGTCCTATAATCATTTTTCTTTCTATGTGGTTTTAGTTTTGATGCATAGCAAATACCATGGATTTGAAAACTGAATCGTTCATCGAACCGATGAAGCTACTGGTTCAATGGTTCATTGGTCGGACCAGTGATCGAATCGGTTTAATTAATATATAATTATTATTTATTTTTGTATGTATAATATATAATTGTATTTATTTTTATCATTAGTTTTATAATGTATAATGACACTTATAATTATATATATATATATAGTTTCTATCATTAGTTTTATATGTATAATATATAAATGTATATATTTTTATCATTATGATTAAACATTAAAGTGTGAAAAGTTTTTTTATTAATTTTGTAAATTGTTATTTTTTACAATTAATATAATAGATATTTTTTTTAATTGGGCTTTTGGTTTGAATTTTCAAAAGGTATAAGTATATGGAAAAAATAAAAAACTACCCAAAGGCCCAAATAAAAAAAGTGATCATTGGGCTTTTGGACCACAACACAAGCAAAAAGTTGCAAAAAGATGAGGTATACACCATAGAATAAGGAGAAAAGTCACTGTCCCACATTGAAAAAATAACACAACAATGAAGTGTATTTATAAAAAAGTCAGAATAAGCCAAATTGAAAAATCGTTGGGCCACTAGAGTCGGTGTTCTACAGTTTCTACTGGTTTTGAACAGTCTGAACGATTTTCAACCGGTTTTTGTGTCCAACGTTTTTACATCCCACACCAGAGCGCTATGATAAACGGTTCTTGGTTAAACAGGTCGAACACGATGGTCCGGTTCCCGATTTTCAAAACCATGGCAAAGACATCCAATGACGTTAAGCCTCTCATAGGTGGTAAATTCCCATGAAACTGAAGGGACTTTGTCAACCTAATTTTTTACGAGGTAAACAGTTAACTATCTATATAGCTGTCAATATGCTATAGGGCCATAATTATTGTTTCGAATTGGCTTGAAAAGATATGGATCTTGCCACCTCCAATATGAACTTGTGCTTCCTCTCTATATAATGACCAGTTCCTGGTTAAACCGGTCGAATCGGGCGGTCCGATCCGGTTTTTCAAACCATGGCAAAGACATCCAATGAATTTAAGCCTCTCATAGGTGGTAAATTCCCATGTAGCAACTGTAAGGGACTTTGCCAACTTAATTTTTCACTAGGTAAACAGTTAATTATCTATACAAGTGCCAATAAGCTATAGGCCCATATATATTTTTTCGAATTGACTTGAAAAGATAAGGATCTTGCCACCTCCAATATGAACTTGTGTTTCCTCTCCACAACACCATTCTGTTGTGGTGTATAAGGACATGACCTCTGATGCAATATGCCATTTTTCCTCAATAATGGTCCTACTTCTTTGTGATGAATTCACTCTCATCGGTCATCATTAGGTTGCAAGTGACTTTATTTTATTATTTCCTGATGTTGAATGCATCTTGGTGTCCCATTCTTCGAGATCTTCTTGGTCGGACTTTCGTCGTGACTTGAATTTGGTTCCCCTCTTTGCCCTGGCTCGGGATTTCTTCGTGGTTATGTGCTCAGAATCTGCTCCTCCTTGTCGTCTTTCTTGCTCGCCGCTCTTTGGATTTGGGCCATTTATCGTTGACTGATGAAGCTGAGCTGGTCTGTGATCCCCGCCTTTCAAGATCACTTAATCGCTAATTCGTTTTATCGCGGGATTTTACGTCCCTGACTCATGCTTACCAACTCGAATGCCAACAATAATTGTTCTAAAATTTTTATGTGGGAATGTTATTTATAATAGGGTATATCTAATCGTATTAGCGGATTATAATAGATGATTCGGCTATTAGCGGTAGGGATGAGCAACGGTGCGGTTTAGTGAAAACCGCGCTGAACCATAGAAAATAAAAAAATCGAACCTATCTATATCTATAGAATGAACCAATCTTTATTGCCATAATTGACATGATTTTGGGCGGAAATTTTTTTTTCGTCTATATTTGGCATTTAATTAATATTTATTTATTAGCAAATCTTATACATGAAAAACATAATAAATTTTTATACACTCAATGACTATTACTCATTAATTACAAATTGTCTTAGATTGAAATTTTGACCGTATATTTAGTAGACATATTTTTAATAAGATCTTATATTAATTTAATAGTAATTTATTGACACAATTCAAAAATTATTATGGAAATTGATTTGATTAAGTATATTATCATTTATGGTTGTAGGTATTAATTTAACTAATTATATTTACTATTTAAGTACTTAAAAAATAAAAAAAAATAATCAGAATAACTATGTTTAAACTTAATAAATAATTTAAAATAAATTTTTAAATATTACACTAATAAAAATAAAATTTGATGGTTGGATGCTATTCAGAATTATAAATGTCATCTTAGAAGTATCTATGTACATTAAAAATTTATTCAATTTTTTATTTTTGTTTTCTTATATACTATCTTATAAATGAAAAATAAGTTAATAAAAAAACAATGTATAATAATTTAAATTATAGCACTTGGTAATTATGGAAATATATAATATATCTAAATATTCGATAAATACTATGGCCTTATTTGGCGATCGGCGAATAGCAGATAGTAGATAGCGAATTGTATCAGCGGATAGCGGATTATATTAGTTGATTTGACCAACGAATTGCATTAGCGGTTTTTAAATAAGCGTTTGGTAAATAGCTAAAAGCTTATAGCTGTTTGACATTGTAAAATGACCAATAATAATATTTTATTATTTAGGGTGTATTTATTTAATAATAATATATTAAAACATTTGATATTATTTAGTTGGTAATTTATAAATATGTATATATTTTTTAAATTTGTTAACACTTGATGAAAAAGTTATGAATTTTACATTTTTCTAGATAAATTAATCATATGGATGATATATTATTATTTATTAGCACCATAAACCAATGTAGATTGTAAAATAAATAATACAGACTAAAAAGTTCCAAGTAAATGATTTTTGTGAATCTTCTATCCCAAAAAACTGCTATAATGTGTTTTTTCTAAATTAGTGTTTTGGGCCCAAAAGCTTATCAAATAAGCTATTTACCAAACATGCTCAATAGCGGATTTGACGGGTCAAACCTCTCAATTAAGTCCAATCCGCTAATTTATCTTCAATCTACTATCTTCCAAACAGGGCCTATGTAACTCATTATATAGGTTGAAAAAATAAATTAAAAAAGTTAATATAAATAAAAAATGAAAACATAAAACTAAAATATTTTAACCATAAAAAATTCGTGTGTTGCATAACAATTAAAGTTATTAAAAATTAAATTTATTTATCAAAATTTTTAACATTTAATGCACTTAATAATTATAGTGGAAGATAAATATTATGGGTTAAGCGTTGGTCAATTATCAAACAATGTGAAAATTATGAATTGTTAAAAAAAATTATAAGACTATAATAAATGACAATTTTATAAGTACAGTGGCGGGTGGTTTTTCGTGCTCGAGAGCCGTCGTTGGAGTTGGTTTGTCTGCCGTCAATCTAGATATATATGGCGGGGGAGGTTGTGCTCCCTTTATGTTTATTTTGTTTATTTTTTTTTTTTTTTCTGGTTGGTCTGTGTTTCAGTTATTAGTGTCTTTTCGGTTTGTGTTTTTGGCCTGGGCCGTTTGGCCTCTGTGAAGCCGAGTGTCACTTTATTATCTCGTTGGGATCCGACACTCGGGTATTACCCTGTTGGGATCATTTAGTTTTTTGTTAGTTGTTTTAGTTGGTTAGTTTTAGTTGCGAGCTTTATTCTAGCGTTGCTAGCCGGGACTCTAGGCGGTCTTCTGACCTGTCCTCCGACTTTTTTAGCTGTTGGTTACTGTGTATTCAGCCGTTGGCTGTTGTTTATTCGCACATTTGTACATTTTAATGTATAATATAATCTATCGTTTTGAAAAAAAAAATAAGTACATATAAGTAACTTGTATGCAAAATATCATATGATCTTATAAATTTATAATATTTTATAAACTAATAAACAATAAAATTTATATATTAAATATAAAAAACTACAAACTTATATATATAAAAATAGGAATTAACAATAATAGTAAATAAATAAATGTCATATTATTACTGAATAGAAGATTGTGAAACATAATTTCATATTGTCTTAAATAATTTTATAATATTTAAATAAAAAATATTTTTTTATTGCACCCGTGCATCGCACGAGTATCAACACTAGTAAAAAATATAATCAAACTGCACTACAATTTATAAGAGATTGAAATGAAACCAAGAAGAAATTTTTTACCTTGAATTGTTGAACAGAACCGCATCAAAACGCATGGTTCGACTAAGTTTTTATCACAATTTTTCTGTGCATTTTAATCAATTTGGTGTGGTACGGTGCAAAACCGCACCAAAACAAACAAACCCAACATTAAAAAATAATCGAACTGCACTACAATTAGAAAAGAAAGAAATGAAACCATGACGAAATTTTTTACATTGAATAGTCGAATTGAACCGCATCAAAATGCATGGTTCGACTCAGTTTTTATCACAATTTTTCTGTACATTTTATTCAATCTGGTGTGATACGGTGCAAAATTGCACCAAAGCGAACAAAACCAAAAACCAATTTTTTTTTAAAAAAAAATAAAAAATTATAATATAACCCACCATACCGCAATGTAAGAGCAAATCGAACCGAAATCGCACAAAAATTATTTACATTTATAAAACCAAAACGAACGCACCAAATTGCACGCTTCTGTTCAGTTTCTCAATTTCGACTCGATTTTACTCACCTTCAATTAGCGATTCGTTTAAACCGAACCAAAAGTCAAGTTTTCCAAAACCTAATAAAATAAACTCTTTATCAAAATAAAAGGATTTTTAATGGGCCAAAATGTTGAATCCATAAATTTTCAAATGAGTCAAAAAAAAAAACTCCATAACTTCTCACAATTTTTTTGTGTATCAACTACACAACAAATTTTGTTGTTGCATAAATGGTGGGCCCACCACCTGTGATGGGAATCAGTACTATGCTAAAACAGTGCAACAGAAAATCATAGTGCTGTTTGCATAAAATTGGAATTATCATCCAAATTCGTCTGCTCTCGCTGTCAGCGTCAATGGCCGACTTCAAATTTCTGCAAATTTCATGCGCTTGAGATAAAGCAGTGAGTTGCGATGAACAACAATGGCGTTTATCTTTTATTTTTATTTTTATTTTTTTCATTAATTACCTTTACCAAAAAGTAGCGACTATTGAGGACATAAAAATTCCGTTCCCTGAAAAAGCTTGAGGAGTACGCAGAAAAAGTGAGTTTTCTTTGTGCTTGGTTTTGTCTCTTATCTAACCCTTTTGCTTGCCTTTTCAATCTCTCTAGGTTTCATTTTTCTTCGGTAAATAACGTGGAGTTATCTGGGTTTGGCTGTTATGGTGTGCAAGTTGAAGGTATGAACACTGTTGAGGCTTGGGATACAAGGAATTGTGACCATAACGAGAAGGAAGGTAGTAAAGGTATGGCGCCATGTGCCTCAAAAACGAAGAAGTTAAACGGTCACGGATACAAACAGTGGCTGAAATCCCAGGGGATGAAAGCTAAGGGATCAGGTGATTTGTTTGTTTGTTTGTTGATTATATTCTTTCTGAAGTTATTCAGTTTTGAATTTTTTAGCTGCAATTGTCGTTCATTTGTGATTACGACGTGCCGACGTGGTTGTGTGCTTATCGGGTTTCATGTTGTGTTTTGTGTGTCTATTTTATTCGAACTTTCTGCATTGACTGGATGTTGTAGATGTTGATGGGCTGATTTTTCTGTGTAACTCTCAAAGAAATTAACATCACAACAATATTGCCATGTAATGAAGCTGAATATGTTTAATGAAGGGGCGCTGTTTAAACCGTACTCTTGTTTTGTATTTGAACTTCTTGGGAGTTGCTTGAAGACTTAAAAGAGTATATATCATTAATGAATGAGGCGAAAGTATGGTATTGGATATGAATAGAATTTGTCAGTGGAGCATAGGATTGCCTTCATTTTTTTTTCTCTGTAAAAGTTGAGAAATTATTCGTTACTCCTTTCGATTTCTTATATACTTGCAAATTCTTGTTCTGCAGATTTTTCTATTGAGAAAAGGAGTGAGCCGTCACAAAGTGAAGTAAAGGGTACAGAGCCAAATGTTCTCCACAAAGGTGAAAATGCCACCACAGCTAACTCTGTTTCACACCCACAAGAAGAAAGGTAGTGGTTGTTCACTTGAAATTCTGAACCATTCATTTCGCTGTTTCCTTTTGACAAAATGATATTTTAAGAACAAGGTGTGTTTTCAGGTTGGATTTTCTTCTGAGACGGGTTAAGGATGCTGATTGTGCAAAAGAAAGTAATATCACGAACGATTTCACTCAAGTTAAGAACAATTTGGTAGGTTATCTTCTTTCTGATTTAAGTTATTCGATTAAGTTCTTGGTTATCTCATGAAACTTCATTCTCGACTTCTCAGCATTTTAATCTTGTAACTTAACTGTGCTATGCAACCTGTTGGTTATATGACCTGGTTAATGAATTTTGTTGGTTATGGAACTTGGCCTTGTATATGTTGCTATAGATCAGTGCTTTCTAATTTCTTCCTTCACAGTAAATTTCTATCGAACAATTTTATTGGTCCCATGTATTTGTTATAATCATTTCTTATTCATGTAATAAGTTCTCTTCTGAGCCTAATTGCTTATCACTTTCATGTGTGTCAGTAGATTTTAACCCCCATTCGATATCTTTGCCTTTGGCTCAGATGACTTTTTGAAATACTTATCCTGAACCATCTTTTATTCAATGTTTCTATTGACAATCCTTGATATGATGAACTAACAGGAGGAGAACAGTGAGAAACAGGGAAGACCATGTAACATGGATAAATCAGAGGTGAAAAAAGAACCTGAAAATTGCAATGCACATATGTCCAAGTCTACCGAACCTAATTTTGTGGAGTACTGGGTTCCTGTCAGCCTCTCGGAGATGCTAGAAACAGCTCCCAGAAAACGAAGGAAAGAGGAAGCATCTGCTCAGACAAAACCAGCTCCCGAGAAACCCAGGAGAAAGGCTAGAAACACTTTGTACGAATTCCCAACAATAATCAAGAGAAAGGTTAGGACTAAGCTTCGAAATCAAGGTAAATGCAAAAGCTTCCAGATTTTAAATATATTTTTGTTTCGTGAACAAGGATCACCACTTTTATGCAAGGAAATCGATCTATTGTGGCGTGTGTTTTTCTTCTCTCTATTTTTTCCTTTTTGCCATCTGAAAAACACGTCTCAGCAGAAACTAACAAAAGGAGAAAAGCAAGCTCATGGGTCAACCTCCAAATTCCAGTGTTGGGCAGAGCACCACCAAGTGAACACCATTCTCTGGTAATGAGTTCTTTATTAAAAATGTCTTTTTCCCGCCCATACACTCTTCACTAGATAACTATGAAAATGAGCACTTGACAAGAAAAACAAATGAAGGCAAAGTTTTCTGATTGCTCTATTCTTCACAGCCACCTACTGATGAACGAAGAACAATCGGTTTGAGTGCTATTCATGATGCTTGTGTTTCTCGTTCTTCCCTGAATTCTGAACCTCCTCCTGCGGCTTCTCCTATGGCACCACAATCGGTTTGTGAAGCACTCGAGATGGAGCTTGAAGTACTGCAAAAGGAGAAAAATGATCTTTTGAAGCTACACGAAGAGAAAGTTCGTTTCTATATTTTTATTTCTTTTCCTACTTTCAGCCATTTTCCATTGTTTTTTTTCCAATATTTTTCTGCTCAGAAGTATGTTTTCCTTATCCTGGAATAAACTGTAGAAACTGCAATCGAAGATGGCATGCGAGAAGGAGATTGAAGATATACGTAAAAAATATGACGTGCTGCTTCAGAATGCCGAGGCAGCTTTACTGGAAGAGAAAGGAGTTCTTGAAGCCAAATGCAAAAAAATAGAAGCCCATAAATCTTTAGCTGAGGCAGTCATGCAGACTGATACTTTTGTTGGTCGATCTGTTGCTGAAGGTTTGTGGACAAATTAGCGATCGATTTTCTTAGCTCATATTATTAGTTTTGTTGAAAGTGTGTGTGAGCAACTTACTTTTGCACAACTAGAATCGCGATCTGTTCTTATTATGAAAACAGTTGAAAGTAGAAAACATTTTATAAGTGATTTGCTTGACCATTCTTGGGTTCTTTTCCATTTCTGGAGGAAATAGCATTTTAAAAATAGTTTAAAAAATATGAAATTGTACTTTGAGTGTGACTGAATGTAGAATGATTAGGTGATGGCTATGGACAGCGTGATTGAAATTTGTTGGTTGGTGTTTGGGAAATTGAGTTTATGTGCATAGTGTATCTTCTGAAAAAATAAGACTGTAAACTTTTTCCGACAATCACTTGCTCGCTGACATTTGATTCTTTTGCTAGTTACTTCAAACTGTTCGATCGACGAGATGTATAAGCTATTCGATCAATGGAGCAGATCAAAGCCAGTGAGAGGACCGAGCAAAGTTGTTAAACCCTCTGAAGCTGAAGGCCCGATTCAAGAATCACTTCCTTCAAAACCAGAAGTTTTTCATTCTCCTCCAAACCCAATGACCTCGTTAGCTAGCAGCCTGCCGATTGAACAATCCCTCGATACAACTAATTTCCAGGCATCATTAGTTGCTGCTCGGCTTGGACCCAATCAGCCTTTACAAGGCCCGGGTTTGATGAGTCAGCGCTCGAGTTTAACCCCAATGGTGCATATTCCTCGAACTTTGGTGGGTGGTCAGGTTAGTTCAGCGAGTTCAATGGCTATCATACCCTACAATTTCTCGGGAAACTTCCAACCAGGCTATCGAGCACGATCCCCGGCTCCACATTTCAGGCACATGTGGCGTCCTCAGCCTATTGTGCCACCTGGACTGCCGCCTTTTCCTTGTCCCGAAATTTTTTCGCCCGTGAGCTTACCGCCATTAACGTCACATGTCCCGGGTTTGCAGTCGACATTTTCGAGCTTTTGGGCATCTTCGCCTTTTGCCAGGTTGCCATTCTGAAAAAAAAATGTGATGATCAAGTGAAGCAAGGTTTATTTAGTACTTTTGTAGCTAGAAAAAAGGAAAAAACCAGATGGAAAGAGCAAACTGTGTTTTCTGTCAACTGGGATATGTAGTAGAAAGAAAACTTTGGAGTTAGATGGTAATTGAATGTAGTTAGTGAACATTGATATATCATTTAAAATCCAGTCATATCATTTACAAGCCTCTCATACATATATAGGATAATGCACCTCTACCACGGTAGGCACATGTTAATATGTCCACCGGTTATGTGGCATGCACACATTGGTGATGTTAATATGTCCACCGGTTATGTGGCATGCACACATTGGTGATGTTAATATGTTCAAAAAAATACATCACCAATGTGTGCATGCCACATAACCAGTAGGCATATTAACATGTCCCCACCGATAGGTGAGCATTACTGTACATATATATATATATATGTTCTCTGAATTTTACTAATAAAAGAAACACAAAAAGCATATTAACGATGAAAAAGTGTGGCTGCTGGGATTCGAGCCCAGGTCTCCACGGCCACAACGTGGAATTCTAACCACTAAACTACAGCCACTAATTGTTGCAATTGACTCCTATAGTATCTACAAATTATTGTTATTATACGAAAGCATATGTCAATAATCAATGATTACTCATGGGATATATGCCTTATTTCTCGAGTATTTCTTTACGTTTACAAAGGGATATTCTACCTATTTACTACATTTTTTTTTATTTTTTATTTTACAAACATACGACATTCAAAATAAAAGTAGTAGACATGATTGATAAACACAGTTTAAAAATCAATGATAAAAAATAAATCAAAAAATCAACCCTATATAAACTATAATAAAAGTTAATAAATTTGAAATCAAAATAAAAACTTCATAAATATAAAATAAAGTTATATTTGAAAGTAAATGTAAGCAGGAAGCCCAGTAGTAAGAGGAAGCATTAATCCCATGTAACATGTAAGCATTCAACAAAAATTAAATTAATTTAAAATTAACCCAAAAAAAAAAAAAAAATCCTCCATCTACTTAAAATATATGTGCTTTTATTGAATTTCAGATCATCAAAAGAGCATCACAAGAAAAAATCCACCTGAAATATCATAAATCTCATCATCTTGGTCTTTCTACAAATAACAACAGTTTCAGATGTTAGTAATACAGAAATATTATTGCATAAGTCCATACATTCATGTTCCATGACACTAAAACCAGGCCAAAATATGTATAAAAAAGAAACCCAAACTTTGGGCGCTCGTTCGTCTTCAGGAGCGCATCACCTTTTCACTACGAGTCGAATTCGTCTTAGACATTGCTATTAACAGAAAACGGCAAAAAAAAAACTGTCAGTTTCCATTAATACTCCGCAAGATTCTTCTGTAGTCCCTCAATGTGATATCCGAGTTTTTTTCAGGCGAGTCGTGATGGATACTCACAATCTTGTGTTTGGTATGGCCCTTGGGATAAGGGTACATATTTGCCAGCTCACATACACGGCGCAGTATGGATTTAGGCAAAGGCCGCCAGGGCATGTTTCGTTTCGTTTCTCCCTGCATTGAGAAATTATTGTGGATTTTGGTCCGGATATTTTCAAATGAAAGCACAACCGAAAAATGCCATGAATTATATGAATAAATATGTTTACAGTATTTGCAATAAGTTTACACCTACATTCTATCTTGTCCTGTTTTCATCGTAAGTATCATGAACAATCATGATATCGTCTCACTTAGTAGATATGATTGGAAATCACATAGAAATTAGATAATGGAAGCACAAGATTCCGCACCAGCCGAAAAAGCGGTAATATACATGGATTAATTGCAAAGTACCCCTCAGATTTAGCCTAACTACAAACAGACGAGTTTGCATTTACTATTACGATTCACCTCCTTAATAAGTGCACTGTGTAAAACGATAACATATGTTGAGGGGCATTTGTGATTTAGAAAATTAACTCTTCATATATAGCAGAAAAAGGTTAGACATCAAGGTTACCTTTTGATTGCCCAGCTGCATACGGCTTGCTTTCAAAAGATTCCGCCATTTGTCCTGTATCAAAAACCTCATATTAACAAATGATACCCAAAATAAGAATATATGTTATGCTGGAAAAAACAAAATTCAGAACACGTTTTTGAATCTAAATACATAGATAAATAGATAAATAAACAAATTAAGAGAAAAGGAATAGACGAACAAAACCTTGAGATCCACAGAGGTCCGATGGTCCGATGCAGAAAACGAAAGCTTCTTTATCCGGCTCCATCTCCCGACTCCATATTCAGACACGCCATCGATTAATTTTTTAACTTCTGCAATAGTCCATAATCTGTGATGCTTTCGACGTCCGCTAACTTCCTCAGAGCTTTCTTCAGTCAGATAATCTTCTCTTCTAACTTTACTTGCTGTTTTCATACAGTTATCCTTCTTGGGACTCATTGCTTGGACAAAGTCATTTATCTTCGGATTTTGGGAAGTCATACATTCCTCGCTTCTCTTAACTTGAGTTATTGGCGTAATAGAACACCGATCAATTTTCACAGGATGATACGCTGCAACAACACATTCATCCCTTATTTTTTTATTTTCTGGCGTAACACAAATATCTTTTGATTTGAGGCTCGGATGTCCTCTGTCCGCACTACGCATTTGTTTATGCCACGTACCAATTTCCTTATTCTGGCATCAAGAAAAATATTATATTTATAATTTGTAATCACAAAAGAGAATGATCGTAACAAACAATTACATTTTTTAGCATGAAATAATAATCCCTTTTTCCCTCGTCTAAATTTTAAAATTTACAGTTAGGAAAGAACAAAGGGTCAGGAAAAGCGAGTTCATAAATAATCAAGTGATCAATACGAATGTATCTAGCCATAAAAACTCACCATATCACATGAAGGACTCTTTGGACATTCTTTATGCACCAAAGAGCCAAATGGCACCTGAATCGCTACAACAGATGACTCCTCTTCAGCAGCAAATGCCAATGCTTTAGATCCCCCACGGCATTTTCTATGGTCCTTAATCCCGAAAGACTTATTATCTTTGCCGGTTGAATATGAAACTTCCCGCCTTCTCTTGGGAACTCTCGGAATTGGGTCCATGAGTTCGTCAATGTACCTTTGTGTGGGCCTACGCATTCTCTTCTGCGTAGTTCGACCAACGGTGCAGTCTGCTTGAGTTAACATTATTTCTGATCTGTTTCGCTCGACATTTGGGCCCATGGGCCCAAATTCATCATCTTTTTTGTTCTTCAGGTTGAGAGATGGCTCAATTAAAGGTGAAAAGCAAGCATCTTTCTTATTCGGTAACATTTCTTGAGAATTGGTTGGAACATTTTGGAACTTGTCAGTATCTTGTGAAGTAGATGATTCGGGAGACTTTGGAGATTTTTCATCAGTCGGCGTTTCGGATTCGTTGCAAAGAGTAGGAACGTCACCAAAATCGGTGGTGTCAATATTAATTCTAAATAGATCGGCTTTCCAAGGACTGGCAGTTGATGCTAGAATTGAACTGTCTGAAACTGAAGTCAGCAAGCCTTCACTTGGACCATAATCCAGGTTTGTCATACATTCAGAAAATCCAACACCTGTATAACCTTTTTTATATTTATTCATCATTTTTATTTTTTTATTTTTTTTGGGAAGGGTAAAGAGGTGTCAGTAGTGTTAAGGTACTTCAGGTCGATAAACAATTATGAAATTAACTGAAAAGAAGGAAAAAAAATGCCTACCGAGAAGATAATCTTCCCCCATGCTGCAGAAATCATTTTGCAGTCGAAAGTATCCAACATCAGCTTCACTGCTTACTGAGTCAAGTACCTGCACATATCATATTTGAACATCAAAATACACGCCCTAAAAAAAGAAGAGAAAAAATCAACCAAGTTGCAACATTTAAACATATAGAAGCCAAAAGGCCGCAAAAGGTAGTTGGTAATATAAACCATTCCAAAGAACAACACTCAAACAAAAGTTAAGAATTATTACATCACAATTGAGAATATTTTCTCTTTCCCGAGCAACACCAGTATTTGTCACACCTGCAAAATATATGAAGTTATGAGCAAAGACAGGCAATTTACAAGTGCGTCAACTAAATTCACATAATCGCTCGAGGAGAATTCATAAGCAAAATTTGTAAAACTGGAATAGCAACTTTCCCAGGCTACAATGCAGAAAATGGAAATACTTCATTTATTACGCGCACGTGTAATTCGAAAGTATCTGCTCAGTCAAATCCCAAAAGCCATTTACATATCACAAATAATAATTACTCAGCCATTTAAGTTATTGCTGAGTATTGGGAGTAGAGAAAAGTTAAAACTGCTTGATTTTAGGATAATACCAAAGTTCCGAGATATATCGTCCATGCCCGTGGCTTTCTCTGGAATCTTCTCATTCAAACACATGACATTATCCACTAAAACATGCCCGTCTTGGGATTCTACAAGTAGACGCTCAACATCGATAGACCCATCTTCAAATCCAATTGTTGGAGGCTCATCCTCCATGACCTGATAAATATTTTTTCTCATCATAGGAGAAGTATTCTACTAAAGCTCTGCCAATAAGAAGAATCTACTATTCAAGATAATTCGACAGAAAAAGAATGTGTAATACAAATACCATAAAAATAATGAACCCTGAAAGATTTTTCAGTATCTCATATAATAACGACATCAATTTGCACAAGCCCGGTTTGCAGTTTTTACACATTCTATAAGCCACATTACACAATAATGGAGCAAAAGGAGGCACAAATTCCAACACGCCAAAAAATGATTAGATATCACTAAACTGATAATGATGTAAAGAGTGGAACACTATTTTAGTACCATATTAACATAACATGAACTTACGAAGATTGTAAGAACTAGTAAGAAAATACCTAACAAGAGAATGCACACTAGCTCCGAAATTAACTCCCTCAACAACAATCATGAACCCGAATGATCCTCCACACGACAAATGACTGCAAGCGCTCGTAAATTCAATTTTGGGACGATGACTAACACACAAAATAATCCTAAACCGAACCAACTCACACCCGACAAGAACCGGAAAACAAAAAATTCACCACAAATTTATTATCCAGAAAAAAAGCTTATGAAACACAAAAAGGTCAACATTTTACAACAAAGTAATCTATTTTCAACAGTAATCATTCGGCCTAAAATCGAGCACACGTCACATCTTCGTTAGACCAAAACCCAGTATTTTCTCCCTGAAATATCTCCAATTTGTCGGACGCCTGTGCTTTTCAATACCTTTTTTCCTCCTAAGACGGCGAATCAAAATGATTACTCGGTATCAATTAACACAATCTAATGGCACTGCACTTCGCATGCGCAATATCTACACATTAGAACAATAATCGTCGACAAATGACAAAATCATCAAGCTCTTAACTTTTTCTTTCAACAAGAATTTGAACACATACGCACACGCATAAGAACAATGAACCGATTGCAGGAATCGAAAGCTAAAATAATCAGCCTCAAAGGGTAAAAAGGTGCAATTTTTCGGACATGAAAGAGCTAACCTAAAACTTCCCGTTCGCCTGAGCTTATTATCTCCGGTATCGGCGTGAGAGAGAGTAGAGAGAAAGAGAGTAAACCGTACAGTGACGAAAATCTATAGACGGAATCGAAGGAGGTTTTACAAAGTTGTAATGGAATACGAGGTTTGGCGTCCGCCGTTTGTTATTTGCCACTGTGACAACGACACCGTGTTGTGTGGCTTTTCCCATTATTTTAGTTTTTTAAAGAAAAATGGAAATGATTTTATAATTTGTGGCTGGTTTTTATATGGTCAACCAACAGTCAACCTCCTTAGATTATGCAATAAAGTTTTAGTACAATTTTATTAGGAATGTTGTTGGTTAATGGTTACTCTGAAAATGACTTATGGAGATTATTTCTGGACCGGGTATGATTAGCAAACAACAAGAATCGTTCTTCAATTCGAGCTCCAATTACCTGTAAAAAATACATTAGGAGGAGTCTCGGTGAAAAATCTTCGATGCAAGTTAAATCTCGCTCGTGAACTGAAAATGAGATGCAAATATAAATTGAATGTTAAATTGTAAAGAACATAACAACTTTCTTTTATAAGTAGGTTGTCTTCTTACCCACGTAACCTCATTACTAAAAAAGAGAATTCTCCATAATTTGTTTCTTAATATGACATGTCTTTGATATATTTTATTCCTTAGAGAGATATTTTTACAATCATATCAGGATAAGTTCATTTCTTTACCATGACTCAACATGTCTTTTAGGTCATCGCATCGATCACACGACTCCGATGTCCTTCTTCTTATTACACGATCTCCAAGTCTTGACTACCCCACTTCTAACCAAACTCCAGACTATCCCAACTTTCCAGCTCGTAACTAGAGCCGACTCGTACTACGAGTTGTAATACCAAGCTCATTGACGGGGTCAAACTTTGTTGTCAAGCTAAAAGTTATTCCAGACCGGTTAACCCGAGCTAACCACTCTAACCGGTTTGTCGAGCTATTATGGGGGTTTTTTTTTCAACTCGCACATGATAAAACCTTGTAACATTTTGGCTTTTGAATTTGAAATACAAATTCAGTTTGACTTTTAGTTGTAGCATATCAAGGTTTGTAATTAGTGGGTTGATTAATGACAATTACATTTGACATCACGACCTTTTCTACCATTTGCACTTTTGTCATAACTTTTGGACTTTGGCACTTCGGTACATAACTTTTTTTTCAAAATGAACCATTGACCCAGTCTCTGGTGGATCGATGTCAACCTTTTCGAAGATTTTATTGACGTGGCATACGTTTCTCATGCAAAATGACCAAGTCAAATCGAACGACGTCGTTTCACATGAATCCAAATTTATTTGGTTAATTTCAAATCAATCCCAAATTCATAAATCAATCCCTAAACCTGAATTCCTCTCTTCAAATCCAAAAACTCTTAACCAACCAAAATTTCTCTCTTTAAATCCATCTATTCCCTTTGCTTAAAGAAATTGTTGAATAACCCTAGAAATTCTTATCATTAGTCTCCCTTTTCTCAGTTGTCGCGGCGGTCTTTTGAAACTGATAGTTCTCATTGCATGTTCCTTTGAAACTGATAGTTCCCATTGCATTGAAGATGGCGAACGGATATGAAATGTGGTCCTACTATCTTCTTCTTTTGTTTTCCCCATCAATATCAGTATACTATGTATAATCAATAGATTAGGGCTCATTTATACTTGGGGTATGTGGAGAACACGATTCTTGATTGTGTTATTTCTGTTTTTTTAGACAATCTTTATCTATATTAGCCAATCATGGTGGACAATTTGTTATGATGGATAATGTGATGGAGTATTTAGGAGGAAAAATTCATATCAGTCATGATATTGATATTGACATGTTTGGTTATTTGGATTTGGTAAATGAAATTGAGAAACTTGGTTACGTTGAGGTTGACAAAATTTATTACAAGATGCGAGGGGAAATGGAGTCGGTTATCCAAATGATGGAAGTTTAATGGATATGATAGGAGCTTGGAACCCAATAAATTTTATGTGCATGTTTTTTTGAATGACGGGAAAAAACGCCAGAATTAGGACTCTGTGATAAATGAGGAATGATGTGGTGTTGGTTGAAATCTCTTAGAAAAAAAAAAAGTCAATAAGGTTCAACATGATGTGAAAATATGTGATGATGATGATGATTATAACACATCAGATTGCAGTTTTACTGACGATGTACTTTGTGAGGCTGACTTGGGAACTGATGAAGAGGAGTACTAGAAGTAAACCAAGGTTCTTTGATGCCAAGGACATGAACAACATAACTCTCAGAGTGATCCTCAGTTTGTAGTACCCATCAATGAAGAACATAGTGAACCATGCACAGGGGATGCATCAGATTATGGAGACTCAGATGATATTGCTCATATACATCATTTTCAGATGATGATAGTGAGGCTATTGAAAACAAAAAAAAAA